GCATGAGGACATGAGGAGCCTGTAACTGGTGTAGCATGAGGACATGAAGAGCCTGTAACTGGTGTAGCATGAGGACATGAGGAGCCTGAATGCTGGGAGCATGGCAAGCCAGGGCTGGACGCTGCTTCAGAAGAAACACTGTCAGTAGCATTAACGTTCCTGAGCGGAGTGCTGAAGGTTTCTCTTAAGACGTGGCCATCCCTTGGTATATTTTTAACTTTCTGGACAGTCTGTTACTGCTTCCACAGCTGTGTTCACTGTTGTAAAGTTGATTGTTTGTTCAGAAATCAGTCCGTTTTCTTGGGCTAGCTGAAGTAAATGAGACGTTGTCTCCCTGAGAACCTGTGGCTCATTTACTGAATGTAAATATAACGGCAGTCCTTTACGAATGGGAGTAGCGCTCTGCTTGATGTTGGCCAGTCATCCTTGAAACTTTTAATGTATGAATGCAGATCACTGGCTGTCTTCAGATCTATGGAGGACTCAGAAGGCAGAGCTGCAAATACAAGTTCATTGTAAATGTGGTGTTAGTGACTTCATGCTTTGTTACAGTAACTGAGTACAAACAGCCTCCAGGAGCAGTTGGTTAGACCGCCACAGTACAGGCCACGCCCACAACATATGAACGAATGGGAGGATATGAATCCCATGAAAAATAAGTGTACCTGTAATTGTATTCTATTTATATTAATAATAATAATCTGTTATTGTTCTTCTTATTATAATATACATAAATAAAGGTAAGAGCAGATGGTCCTCTTGTCCTGGTCCTGGTTCTGCTAAAGGTTTCTTCCTCATGAGGGAGTTTTTCTTTCCACTGTCGCCTTCATGCTTGTTCAACATGAGAGTTCTGTGATGGAGTTAAACTCAAAGCTGCTCCTCACATAAATAATGTTCAATTATTATTTTATACATGAATGTTTCTGTTCAATTATTATTTTATAGATGAATGTTTCTGTTCAATTATTATTTTATAGATGAATGTTTCTGTTCAATTATTATTTTATACATGAATGTTTCTGTTCAATTATTATTTTATAGATGAATGTTTCTGTTCAATTATTATTTTATACATGAATGTTTCTGTTCAATTATTATTTTATAGATGAAGGTTTCTGTGAAATTATTATTTTATATTTGAATGTTTATGTTCAATTATTATTTTATAGATAAATAATGTTAATTATTTTATATATGAATGTTTCTGTTCAGTCCCTGAGATGACTTCTGTTGTGACTTGGAGCTATATTAATAAACTAAATTGAAAATTGAATTATAATTATTATAAGTAAAATACTTAAGTTACAAAATAATAATAAAAAATAATAAATTTTATTTTTATTCATAATTATTTTATAATTCTTATATAAACTCAATTTTAGTGCTTGCACCAGAGTTACACGCCCTGACCTGCACTTTGCAAAAAAACGATGACGTCATCAAGTGAGGCTGCGGTCAGCAGCTCTTATAGTGGATGTCCAAGTGCCTAATAGATTAATGATAATCGATCATTCACTGATGTTATTGATTGAGTCACGTGACTGCCGCTGTCTCTCAGAGTCAGAGATTCTTTGTCATTCGCACGTCATGTGGTGGAGAGAAATTATCACAGGGTCCCAGTTACATCCAACAATAAAATGTCTAAGAAAACCAGTAATAACATCTAAGATATGAACTAAGAAAAACATCAACTAAATATACACTAAGCACTCATAACATAAAACATTGAACATCAGCACAAACATGAACATGAGTCTGTGAGCAGATGTGCACGCATGAACACATCAACATGAAACAGATCAGCAGCAACATGAAACAGATCAGCAGCAACATGGAACAAATCAGCAGCAACATGAAACAGATCAGCAGCAACATGAAACAGATCAG